TTGCTTAATGTTTCTCTTCCTGTCCAGCTCCTTTTAGCTGGAAATGCTACAGATCTCCAGATCTCTGTACCAATTTCACCAGAACTTGATTTTGCAAATTGCAAAGCTGTTCTCTGACAGATAATAACAAATGTGAAAATGCTGAAGTTTTATACCTGGAAAGAACACCTTAAGATAATATTCTCTGCTTTCTAGRACAAGCACTGCATTTTAGAATTTAGGAATTGTTTTTTGAGAATTCCAGTTTTGAGAAGGATAGTAATGGGTAGAAACCCACCATATGTAATGTTAYTCAGATAAATCTAATAGCTGTCACTAATAAAAAGTATCTCTTGAGAACTTCATGGGGGTTTAGCCTTTACTGATATTTTTGTTCATATGATGTAGAAATCTTTTAACATTGTAAGTGTTATAAATTTAGGATAATATAATAGGAGCATAGGTCTGTTTCATATATTTGGCAAATGGAAAGCAAAATTATTTTTRTAATTTTAAGAAACAGAAAGCAAGCTCCTGGAAAGCTTTATGCTGGATTYGGTGTGTTTAATAAAGTCTGAAAAATTAAACAAAGTAAACATATGCTGCTTACATTGAATGAGGCAGCATTACAAGTGCGTTGAAGGATACCCTGGAAATATGAAATAATCTGGAGGGTAATGGACAGTTCTAAATGGGTTTTAAATTTAGATAAACGTTACATAAKGCATTCCAGGCACATGGCATTATATATAAGCATTGTTGCTGCAGGAAGGGAGATAATACTGTTTAAGCTCTTCAAACACCAGCACTCCTCCTTCAAGTTATTTTTCATACATAAATAGATGGAAATCTGACTGTAGTATTGCTGGAAGGGGAGACCGCTTGCCTTTGTGTTTGAGTRTAGTTAAGATGATGTGTTCATGTTTACCTACCCAGGCAAATACAGAAAAGRAAGATATTAGTAGTGATACCAATTGTCACACAGTCTAGAAAGCTTAGGCTGCTTTAAAAATCAGACCCTGGTATGCAGTTTCTCACAGTACCAGTTTTTCAGTCCTCCAGCCCTCACTACTGATGACAGAGACCTGTATCTGCCAGGGATCTGTATCTGCCAGGAATCTGTAGGGACTCCACATGCTGCCAAGACTCTCCATGAGCTATAGCTACAGATTCCTTTTTAATGTAAGGATAGTTTGATTCCTGCCACAGATACAACTTAATTTTGCCCCTGTCTTCAATGAATTTACCACCTCTGTGCATTCATTAGTGAAGTGGTAGACTAAATATGAATTGATTTTGGAAAAGAGTTTAATTTTTATATTAATTTGAAAGCTTTCAAGCATGTGTTTGATACATCACATGGAATATTAATGGTAGTCCTGATACTTTCCAAGAGAAATACACATAAAACCACAGAGTAATTCTAAAGTAACTAGAATATATTAAGTATTACAGTTGCTGAGAATTGATTTTTCAAAGAACCACCTATTCACCTAAAATAAAAAAAATTATTAAAAGTTCTTTACTGTGGATTGGAACCTGAATGCGGCATTGCAAAGCCCGTTACTTATCTTCCYTGTATTATTTTGCCATTTGCAATCAGTGGATTGCTGCCTTTTTTCCTGCATAATTTCTATTTTGCTGCTGAAACTTGAGATTAATCCTTCCTGGAAGAAACCTACTGCAGTCTTTTTCTTGGCTGGGGAGAGGAAAGGAGCCTTTTTTTTTTTGAGTTTTTCTTTCAAGAGTTCTCATGCAGATCTCTTGTCATAGCAAAGGACGTTTTTTTTTCCCTGCTGAAAAACGCAGCTCTCAATAGATGGTGGTCATTCAGATGTGGATCATTTATCATAGACTTAAATTTCTATGAATAATTGCTGATAGCAAACAAACCTTTGAGACCTTATAGTGACAAATTTACCCCAGAAATGAAAGGTAAAGAAAGCTTTCCAAAACTATGTGAAGCATAAATGGAGCAAATGGATTCTACTTGTGCATTGATAGTTCTCCTTTACAATTGTTGTCATTCAAAACTAACATATTTCTCCATAGTTAATTACATAATGGTCTGATAATATGGGGGTCAGTGCAAGGCAGAATAAAGTAAGTACAGACAAAAGGAAGTGTCGAGCAGCAGTAATTGTAAGCCAGTAATTTTGAAAATATACAGGCAGATAAAATGTGGAAATCAGACTACAAAATACCTAGGAAAATAAATAGCAACAGAAAAACTATTTGAGTCTGACACTTAAAAGTAAGTGTGCAAGAAGTTAAATTATCTGAGAATKCAGTTGTAAATGGAGATGATAAAGTACACATTGCTGAAGGTAGCCAGTGAAGCATCCAAATGCCAAGGTGATAAATAGCGAGCAATTACACATAGCAAAGAGCCTGTGTTCCCAGGCAGGGCACAGAGCTGCTGTTTCGTGCTGCAGGATCAGCTGTGCCGCTTTCTCCTGTTCTTGTCACTCGTGTCGCTGCTCATCAGTGCTGAGGAGGCTGTCAGGAAGGTGTCTCAGCACAGGCATGTGCACACACTTCTGTCTGGCTCTTGAGGGGCTGCTCAGGAGTCTGAACATGTTCTTGTGCCGTGCCCTCCTGTGCTGGGTAGTTCTCTYGCTGTGTCGTCTCTCAGCGACAGCAAAGACAGCACTGAGGCTCTGCTCCTGTGTGTCACTGCTGGGACATGGCTTGGCAGTGCTTGCTCCTGTTCTGGTGTGCTGGAACTCCTCACTGAGAGTACGAAAGGGGCAGAATAGCAGGAAGTGTCAGTTGGAAAAAGAGGTGTGAGGTAAGGCAGCCAAGGAAAGCTGYGCTCATTTACCTTCTGTTCCTCTGGCTTCTTCCTGTGGTGACTTGCTCTGCCCAGCTTCATGTGAAAAAGTTACACCAACTGCCTACTCATATCACCATTTAATTCCTAACTGTACATTTGAACAGAATGTCTGATTTGCTTCTTGGATATAATAATAAAGAAAATTCATAGGCATCAATAAATAAATGTATTATCCTGGCAGTATGTTTTCCTGGTGCTGGTCATTTAGTGTATTAGCTTTTAAAATGTCTGTTGCAGCAGTAGCAATAGTATTAGACTATTTTTATATRTGAGTAGTCTGGTTGTTCTTTCATGACAAAAAGATGACCAGTGTCTAGTTTTTCTGAGCAGACTRCATTATTGTCTCACAAAACAATGTCCCAGTAATAGAATTGCTTCATTAAGTTTATGCTACATAGACATAATTATGCAGGAGCTAAGAATAGCACATCTAATTGAAAATAATGATTATAGAGAAAGAACGGGTTTGATTACTGTTACTAAGCAAGCACATACCATACACCCATTCATGAACTGCACAGAACACATATGGGATTATAYGATGTATTTGTTTTTATAAACAGTTTCTTTCCCCCATCCTGAGTACAAATCGAAGGTGTTACAACTCATTTGCTCATTATCTTTATTTCTCACAGACCTAGGGGGACCTGCAAGAAGGCAGCATAAGCTAATATTTATCCAGTAAATTATGACAAGCTAAGCTTTGAAAGAACATTCARCATTTATCCCCACACACATTTTAGGGAGGATGTAACTTAAATGAATCTTCTCCAGGCACCACAGATGAAACTGTCTATGTGGTTTTTTTATGTCTGTGTTTATACTAGTACCCTAAGGGATTAAACATCCTTTTAGAAATGCAAAGTCTGCCATAATGTTAATCTCTTGATGTTCATTCTGGTTAATGCTAACATTTAATTCTTTCTTTGTCTAAAACACATAGAACTCTTCTTTACTTCTTGAAAATAAAACTGATTTTTTACTGTGAAGYTGTTAGAAGTTTTCATTTATTTACTCACTATTCATTACTATTACGAGGCACATGGGATAAAATTTAGCACTCTTGTTGTCCTATTAGCTAATTCCTGTTTTATTTCTATGTCAGTTTTCTGCTAGAATGTTATGAGAAAAGTGATGAGATAATGAAATTTTATGTGTTTGGTTTAGAAATGTTATTAATATCTYTGGAGTCTCAAAATATTCTGCTGGTTTGCCGTGTTTAGCTTCCCCTCTGTTTTAACGAGCCATTTCATAGCTGTAGGCTATGTGCTAATGCTGTAGAGGCACAGAGAGATCACTGCCATCAGGAATTTTTWAACAGATGACTGTTTGGAAAATGAAGTGGTGAGAGAAGATGGGACAAACAGTTGATGCAAACCTGCAGTAACACAGCTATCAGTTTGCAGTCTTCAATCAGAGGCCTTTRCACAAGCTGTTATTGAGACTTTTTGAAAAACAGCAAGAGGAAAAATGTGGAAACAGGGTGCAGATTATGAAAGTATTCCACAATTCTCTTGAAAAGTTGTCTTTTCAGATTGTATTTGGATTTGAAATTCAGTGAATTACAAGAATTTAGGAYGGTTAAGTCCYCATTTCTACAAATGCTTTTGTAGTATTAAGCACATATTCCTTACTAACATCATCTGATTGTGGAAGACATTTCCTATTTTTTGGGCCAACATACCTGAATTTTGCCCTTCAGAAATTTTTACATAGGACCCAGCACTGACCCATCATCAACTTTGAAATGTGGTAAAGGTAGTAGCATTCCTCAGTGCCTTTGAACACCATCTGTCCTGAAATAGGAGTCAGTGTGGTGACCCAGTCTGACCTTCTGTATGCTTCCGTACACATTCTGTACGGTAACATGTAAATAAGTCCTAATCCCATGTTTCTGTCAGATGCTATTCTTTCTTTCTGTTTAGAAATTTTAATTATAAGCTTGGGCTGTAATGCTTGTGTTCCTGCCATTAAATGTGATCCGGGGATGAGCAGGACTGAAGAACTAAGAGGAAGGAATAGTGATTTGATCATGAAATACTTTGCTGATTTGCAGTTACAATAATTTGTCTTAAGTGTGCACTGTACAGGATAGTGTGTGATAGCTGAGGTCCTTTGCTCTCACATTCCTGCTGTAACTGATAAGAGACTCCTCTGCATATAAACTGTTTTCTGCTTTGTACAGAACCGCACATGCAAGAGCTAAAGCTGATGCTGCGGATCAGGCTGCTCAGGCTGCTCGCCAGGAATGTGATGTTGCAAGAGCAGTTGCCAGAGAACTTTCACCAAATTTCTACCAACCAGGTAATTGTAGATTGGGTTTTTGTGTGGCTGTTTTATTGCAGTGAAAAGATTTTGTGTTAAGTGTTGAATTCATGTGGCATGTTGTCATTCAGAAATAATACATGTGTATGCCATGAAGAGTGTACATTGCTCAAGGAGATTTTGTTTTCAATTTTCAATAATTTGGTGACTGTTTTTTGTATGAAAACAGTTGAGTGTTCAAAAGTCAGTATCAGGCATATAACTTTGCCTCAGATTGATAATTTATTTAGCACAGTGTCAAAGACAGACTTAAGTAATCATAAATCAACAGAAATTTGGGTTAATTCTATAATGTGTTTTGCTGTCCAATGGAGTTCTTGACAGTCTTGGTTAGCTAAGGTCTGAATTTTGGAGAATGYTTTACCATTAGACATGCATAGCCTGTATAAGGAATCTTCCTCTGTTGTGCCTGGGATGCTCTGGTAGAGCATTAGTCCCATATTCACAATAGCACAGAATTAAGTCTGTCTTGGTTCTATCCACACTGCAGCCTGTTTTAATCTGTCACAGCATTTGAAAAGTTGCTATAGGAAGAAGGAAGGTTGATTTTGCTTTGTTTTTGTGCTGCCTTTCCATGAGGCTAATATTTCTGTGTGCTGCYCTTTGGCTGAAAATTGGTTAGATAAAATGGAGCTCCATTTGCCAATTGAATCTCTTTCCATGTCTGCCCTTTCTTTCACCTGTCAAATTGAGTTGAGTCATATCTTGTTATTACTTCTCAAGGATCTACCTGCACTGATATGCTAATACAGATTATAGCTCTGAGATTCATTTTCACTTACTGTAGTTTTCTGCTCATCCTTGTTTCATACACAAACTTACTTATTGTTAAATGTATACACCTATGTAGAGAATGCATGACCCACAAAAGCAAAGAACAACAACATTTTCTAAAAACACACCTATTTACTTCTGGTTTCAGTTCAAGTGGCCACTATATATAACTTGTTCCTAAAACTTTACTGTCAATTACCGTAAAGAATACTTCTTTTTTATTTATTCTCAAGTATTTGGTTGTGAGAGAGAATGTGTTTTGGGGTTGGGGGACTGGAGCACTCTTTTGTATTCATTTAGTGCCTAAATCAAGGATTGGTCATGTGATTGGAATCTTCATTCCCTTTACCAGTCTTGCAGACACTCTGTGCACTTTCTGACGTAAACTCGTCTTTCTTGGACGTGGAAATCCAGAATTGTAGGCAAAGCTCAACCGAGCTATTTCCATAGTAAACTTTACTAGCTTTAAAACAGCATAAGTATGTACTTTTCACTGTTGGAAATTACCTCAGTRCTACCTCTCCTGTGGATTTATATTAGTGGCCCACACTTCTATCCTACTCAAGTCCTTTGCTTTTTTCATTATTTCATTCTCCACCAGCTGTATAAATCCCAGTTAACAGCAGCAGGTCATCTTGCCAGTCACAAATCAAGAAGTCATAACCTTAGTCTTCCAAAGAATTTAAGCATTTGGAAAGAGGGTATTTGAAAGCTGCCAARCCCTTCAAATAAAGAAATTGCTAGAGTACTTGAGTGAAACATCTGACAGTGTGAAATTTGATACCAAATAAATTACCCAAATCAAGAATTTCTCATATATCTTTTTACTCCCTGCCWCAGGAATTGAAGGAGCATTGCTGACAAATGAGCTGAGATATGGGAGAGAAGGTGTGGGATCTTATTTTCCTCCCATTTGAAATTTTTATTTCGTTTACAGAAGAGAAGCGTTTGTGTCCCTTCTCCAAATGCAGTTGGGTGTGTGTGGAATGACATAGCGAAGCATTTCTCAGTTTACTTACTCTGTTCTCTGTGTGGAAAAATGTCTCAGTTACCCAGCTCCTAGCAAAAGAGAAATACCTCTCTGGAGTCTAAATTTTGAATTTTCTAATTGTTTCCAAGGTAGCCAAATACAGCATATTTGTAAAAAACTCTATTCCCATTGCTTAAGTATTTTTAAAATGCCAAGATGTTAACTAAATTTCTGTTATCCCAAATAAACTCGTGCAAACCACCAGCTTCACACATTATATGTAAGATGTTTTCCAGGCTCAGTGTACATGGTGCCTTTTTCAGATACACTTTTTTGTGTGGTACCAGTTAACCCGCTCACTTGTACACATACTTGTTTGTATGAGTCATGCCAAGAGTAACTGGACAATGTTACTGTTAGCTTTTGTCATTTATGGTAATAAAATAGATAAATATTTCTAAGTATTTACATTCACTCACACAAACAGCAGTAAATAYCTGCTCTTCAGGTAGCATTTTTCATGTATTTGCATGAAAACAGGGTAGCTGCTATTGCTTCCTAATAGCAACTTCTTGGTTTTCTTCGCTTGAGCTTTTTTTTTTTTACAGTTTCCTTAAGTGCTGCTAAGAGGTATCAATAAGTGTTCTGTCTCATTCTCTGAAACTATAGTTAAGTAAAAGCTTTCCATTGTACTAAATTGTCTTGAAAATAAATTACCATGAGAAAATGTAATTTTTCTCTTATTTCTTTAACTGCTTAGTATGGTAGGCAAGCATGCTGTCAGCAGTAAATGTATGTAGCATATCAACAATCCCCTTGAAACAGAGACAAAAAACAGTGAAATACAAATACCTCTCCGTAAACAACAGACTCATTCTCTTCTGTCTTAATGAGTGATCTCCGACTGACTTGTAGCCTCAATCCATTTAAATGTYTGAAAATGTTTTGATAAAGCTCTTAAATTTCAGATTCTTAAAAAGCAACTTTCTAAGCCTTATAGCCTGGTATTACACACAAATTATAATTACAGTGAATATTCATCATTCATTGTACCATGGCAATTCATACTTCCCAAATACTTTCTCTCATGTTTCACCTTTGTGTTCATTAAGGCATTCATCAGAAGCTGCCAAGAGGTTCTACCTTTGTAATGTASTTTAAAAGGAGACTAAAGGGAGAACAAAGCAGTAGGAAGTAAAGTAGCATCCAGCAGGTAAGAATAGTGATGAGGTACCATGGAAATCTTGAAATTCAGGTTTTCCAGTGATTGATTGCCTTAGTATTTGCATATAAGGAAAGCCAATATGATTGAAAAGGTCAGAGCCATGGTGTAAGGACTTAAAAGTTTGCATGGAGCTGTTTTCCATGAGTTTATTCACTCTATTCCCAGGCAAGACCCTGCTTTTACTTTTGCTGTAGCATTTATTTGGCTAGTGATTAATAATTATGAGGATGTTTATCTTTGCAGAGCCCTACCCACAAGGCTCTACATTTTGTAGATTTAACAAATTTTGTGCTCTTTATAGAGGCCATACTTTACAGGCCTTTTTATCAACAAACRAAACAAATTTTGAGAAATCCCAGCTCTGACCTGTTTGTTTCCTCCAGGCATCACTAAACTTGTGGATGTGTCAAAAGAGAGCATACCAGGACAGGAAACAAATGAAACCTGAGTCATAGGCTCATTCAAGGGAGTCATCCAGGGACAGTTTGAGATTTGTCTTTGCATGGAGAAAACAGTATTGAGATTTGTCTTTGCATGGAGAAAACAGTAAGAGCTGTTCTGTGTCTGTTGTAAAAACCTAGAGAAGAACAAATGACTTATGGGTGTGATGTGTCAAAGGTGTAACAGAAAAGAAAGGTTTTTGATACTCAGTTCTAGTCTTGCACAAGATTAGTGGATTGACACATCCGTTCTGAATTCCACAGACCATCTTTAGGCTGTGCTCTTGTAAACATGTTATCAGGGGGTAAACTGAAGTATAAACTTGCACAGACTGGACAGCTAAGCCATAATTGTCTGTGTGCATATATATCCTGCAGCGAATGGATGCTGCTCTTTCATTCAGTTTGAATGAAAAACATTTGATTAAATGAAAGAAGGGTAAAACTACTTTGCTGCAGGGTAGGAGCAGGCTGGGCACTTTACCACAGAGCAGTTAAGGTCTGGCAATTCAGATCTGAATTGTTTTCTGGCAGATTATTTATCAGGCCAGCCAGCTGCCAGATGAAAATACATGGATCACAAAAACAATTCATCCAGCCTTTGACCTTCTAAACAAGGCATGAGAGAAATCAAGGAGTAGTTTGTAAATTAAAGCTGTCTAAAGAGATGGACAGAATTTCTTTAGGTGAAATATATGAGTATGGACTTTCTAATGATGAGAATAAGAATTTGGTAGGTTTTACCAGTATTTTTTACTATAGTGTTTGGTTACTTTAAGCATCAGTATTAACATGCTGAACATTACTAAATAAGCATTTTAAGTTTATTCAAGACAATTTGTAATGGCCTCTAATGCCTTAGAGAGCAACTGTGGTTTACRTTCTSTTCTGACCARTGGTAGATGTCTGTAGCTAGAGAAAAAAAAACCATCCTTCCCATCTTCCTCCTTTTTGCCATCACCACCTCCTCAAGTTCTCAAAATGCAAACTCCATATGGACAGGAAAGAGAGATTTCTGGCTGATGCTAATTAACTGGAATGTCCTGGCTAAATGCATGTGGGCCAGACCAGAGAGTTTTATTTTAAAAGCCAATTACAATGAGCATTTTGCCTGATTAAAGTTACCAGCCATGCCATCAGTTAGTGCATTAAAGATACAGAAGTTTGCTYGTTTTTCTTAGTCATACAAGAGCCTGTTCATTTTCTGAATTTATTCTGCATACAMCTTCATCATCCTCACAGATCTGTTACTTGGTTTCTTGCTGTACTACTTTTTCTCTACAATTTATTGCCTCTATCTTCTTTCTACAGAAGAGTGGAGAAACCAGAGCCTATAGACATGTTCTAATGCCCTCTTGTTGTATCCCACAGTCAAAGAAAGAAAGTGCATTAGAAGAAAAGGCATCCATTTCAAGCTTTATTCTTGTTCTCCCCTTTCTTTTTTTATAACTCTTGTCTTACAAGTCTTCCCAACTTGACTTCCAGATTTATTACCGGTCTCACCAAGCCATAGGTACAGATTCCCCACCCTTCCACATCTTTTCTTCTTGTCCATCCACATTCCTGACAG